CCCACCAAAGGGAGCAGGGGGTGAGACAGGAGAGGTCTGTCATACCATGTGGATCATCTCCCTGGCCAGGGATTAAACTCGTACTGCAGTAGCTATCGATAGCCTCATAGTGCTGAGACTTAACCCATTATGCCACCAAGGAGGGCCCTGAATGTTTAATTTTAAAGGCAGACAGAAGGAAAAGTTAGTAAAGGCAAAAGCATGTATTTACAAAGACCTGGTTTCAACTTCTTGAAAAAAAATCAGATAGTTTAATAATCATGAAAGATCAATACCACCCAAATATGATGCAGCTTATAGATGATGAAATGTCTGTAATTGTGTATGACTTTATTAGCCAGGTTGCCCCTACCCTTGAAGTCTGTTAAATCTGTTTAATCCTGAAAAGCTGGGATGAAAAGACATCACACTCCAACATACTTGTATTTATTTTCTGGGGAGTAGCCTGATATGGAGAGGTCTGCATATTCCAGGCATCCCTTTTTGAGAAAGAATTCTCCCTCCACTCTCGCCGAAGGAACTTGAAAGAGAGATTTCAAGAGGCTGTAGAAATTGCATTTAAGTCTAAGGAAGAACGCCTGCCTCCTTCACTAAATTGAAATACTTTAAAACCCTTTCATATTTGCAGCCACTCTAGGGAGGGCACTAATTAGCTAATCCAATCACTTCAGCAAGTTGCCTTTTCTAATAATTTGTTCCTCAACTTCCTGACATGCTTATAGTCCCTTATCTTTAGGTACACAGTTCTATTCTCATTCTTTCACAATTTCTTTTTATCTGCTCTTGGATATTTTTCTCCTTCAATTTTAAGGTGAGTCAAACTTCCATCTTTTCTGTAAATATTTTCCTTCTTTGTGTCAAATACTACGTCAACACACAAGACACGTAACTCTATAGTTCTAGAAAATCCTAACCATCTACTAGAAAGAGCTACATCTCAAAAGTCAACACCCATTACCATCTGACTTTATTCTGTCAAATACCAGGTTCCCGCTGGTCCCTCAAGAAAATAATTTAAAAGACAGGGAAAATATTATATACGATTTGATGGAATTTCTATGATAGATTTAGCAATTCTTTATTGATTACAAATATCTGTTATTTTTAGCCTTATATATTGCATTTTCTTTATTTCCCTATAGATCCAGCAACTGTATCTATAACTTCCACAATATAAATATTTTATATTTCAGAGAAGTGTTTTAAGTTCACATTAAAATGGAGCAGAAAGTACAACATATTTTCATGTACTCTAGCCCAATGTATGCTCACCCTGCCCCATCATCAACATCTTGGATCAATGTGGTACATTTGTCACTATTGATGAAGCTATTTTAACACATCTTCATCACTCAAAGGGTTTTGTAAATGCTAAATGACATGACTCCATTATTGTAGTTTCATGCAGAATAGTTTCACCACCCTGAAAGTGCTTTCTGTTTTCCTTACTTACCCCTCCCTCTCTCCTAATACCTGGAAAACACTCGTTTTTTAAATTTTCTTTATAGATTTGTCTTTTGCAGAATGTTACATAATTAGAACACTTTTTGGAATGGTTTCTTTCACTTCATAATAGTCACTTAAACTTTCTCCCATATCTTTTCATGGCATGATAGCTCATTTTCCCCAAAATAATATATATATATTTCATTGCTTTGGATATGCCATCACTTTTTCTTTCATTCACCTACTAAAGGATAGCTTGGTTGCTTCCAAGTTTTAGCAGTTATGAACAGAGTTGCTGCAAACATCTTTGTTCCTTGGTTTTTGTATAGACATAATTTTCATGTCTTTGGGAAAATACCAAGGAGTACAATATCTAAACTGTAATGTAAGAATATCGTTAGTATTGTAAGAAGCCACCAAATGGTCTTCAAATTAACCAGTAGTTGGGAGTCCTACCATCAATGAACAAGAGTTCCTGTTGCTCCACATCCTCACCAACATTTGGTGTTGTCAGTGTTTCAGATTTTGACCATTGTCAGAGGTGTGGAGAGGTAACTAATTTTCATTATATTTCTCTAATGATAATATGATGTACAGCATTTTTTTTATGAGCTTACTTGCCCTCCTTATACCTTTTTTGATGACATATCTGAATCTTTTTGTAATTGGGTCACATGGTCCTCCTGGCAGTTTGGGGTTAAGTCTTAATGCTACCACCATGATGGCTCCTTATGGTGGCTTGAGTTTGATGCTTGGCCAGGGAGGTGACCCACATGGCACAAAAGAGCCCTCCTGTCCTGCCCACTGCCCCCTTTATCAGTGTATTTTAGTAAATCTACCTGTTCTGCTTCACACTGTGTCTTGTGAATATTCTCACCACACTCCCACCCTCTCACCCCCCAACACACACACACTTCTGGTCTACACCCCAGTTCTATGCAAAAAAAAAAAAAAGAAAAAAGAAAATATTTAAAAATATATAAAAAAATAATTTTGAGACTTTCATTTTCTTGTATTTTAAGAATTCTTTGTAGATTGTGGATAACAGCCCTTTACCAGATGTGTCTTTTGCAAATATTTCTCTCAGGCTGTGACTTCTCATTCTTTTGATGTTGTCACTTGCAGGACACAATAATTGATTTTTCATGAAATTTAGCTAATACTTTCTGTCATGGATTGTGTCTTTTGGTATTCTACCAGTAACGTTATTGTCATACACAGGTCATCGAGATTTTTTCTTGTGTTATCTTCCAGGAGCTTTATGGTTTTACATAGAGATATAGCTGTAACTTTTTTCAGTATGTAGAATTATGTTGGTTTTATGACTATACCCCTAGACTTGGCTGACTGCCTAACATACCAGATACACAATAAAGATTTGTTGAATAAAAACCCAAGAATATGTGTATATGTTATGTTAGAAAATATATATTTAGTTTTATATTCTGAGAAATAAAGATCACTAGAAAATATAATAAAATGTCAGAAAGCATACAATATAATTAATTATATTTAAAATTCATACTATTCATAATACATAATTTTTGCTGCAATAGAAATTTGTTATAAAATGCATACTGGGGACAAAATTAATGCCAAAGTAATAAGTTTTCCATAGCTAGTGACAAGACATAACTTTTATATATACAGAAAACATTATAATCTCCCAGAAGATGATTTTAATAAAGCATAATATTTGGAAATTTCGGCACCTTTGTCTCAAAAAAGTTTAATTTAATTCTACATTTAACTAAGGTTTCCTTCTAAGGGTGTAAAGATTTATTAAATATATACACCCACATTTGTCTCATATCTACTCATGAGCAGAGAGAGGTAAAGAGTAATCTTAAGAACAGTAGGTATTCTCACATTTTCCCTTAATCCCAAACAAAGAAAAGGAAGTGGCTTACGGTTATCATTCTTATTTTTTACTATTATTGGAGGAGGCAATTACATTAAGATCTCATATTTGGAGAAGAGGAAAGGAAATGGAGTCATTTCTACAATTTAGAAATTCAGCTGGTGTGATAATACAACTCCTCATGTAGCCAACTGACTCAATAATAACAAATTTTTCTAAAAAGGTCACAGTTGATAAAAAAAACTCAATGTGATTTAAGTTTCTTTATAAACGCAAGGTGCTATGTCACAAGAGTTTACATATGATTTGGCTGGTGTCTTTTCCTGCACTTGTTATGTTCAATAAAGATAGGAAGAACTACATGAAAAGTAATGCATACTTATAAAAAGACATTGAGTTTAATGACATCAAAGAAAAATCTGTGATTCCTTTATTTAAAAAAAAATATGTTCATGACGAAATCATGGTGATATAACAAACCACAAAGCTTACAAGGTGAGATCTTGCTGGCTGGCATGAGTCAATTTAATTAGACAGTCTGTATTCTAGGAAGATTCTTTGGCAGTTTTGGCTCAACTGACTATGCAGTAAGCACTTAAAGAGCCAACTTCCACTTGGGATTTAAATGCTGAAAATATAGTCCAATTTTTTTCAGGGAAAAAACCCCACAGGTATTAGCTTATTTATGTACCTGAGAGAAGATAACATCTAAGTTCATCATCAACAGCAGGTAATTGGCACACCTATCAGTTTTCTATTTCAGCCTGCTAATTCCAAGGGTAACTGAAAGGGTAACAAACAAAAATGAAGAAACACACCTTTGAGGCAAATGAATTTCAAACAACAAGCAAGGCATTACCATTTGTTATTTCTTTTCATTTCTATTTAATATTTGCCAGAATACCAACAAGTGCTCATTTACCGGCCATGCTCCTAGAGTTTTTTTTTTTTTTTTTTTAAGATTTATTTTTATTATGCATACAGATTTGCGGTACAAGCCAGAGGTGCAGGGGTGGTGAGAATATTCACCAGAGACAGAGCTGGGAGCAGAACAGGCCAGCTGACGAAGTACACTGCTGAGGGGAGCAGCAGGACGTGTCAGGAGAGGTCTGCCACGCCATGTGGTCACCTCCGGGGCGGGGATCGAATTCATACTTGAAGTGACTTTAGCTTCTCAGTGCTGTGTTATAACCAGCTGCACCACCAGGGAGGGCCACTCCTTAAGTTTTTTCCTGGTTAAAGGGGAATCCAGTCCTACTTGCTTTTCTAGTTCCCCTACAAAGATAGGTCTGTCAGCACAGGATGGCTTATATCAATGTATTGACTAGTGAGAAGTCTGAGAAACTAAAAACAGAAGAATTAGGTGGTACAGTTAGAATTGTTGAAGATATATGTGCAATTTTTAACTTTAATGTCTATTCATAGACTTTTTGACTTTCCAGTTTTTTAAAGTCTCATTTTCTTCCTTTGTTTACATAAACTATAAATGATGCCTAGATTTGAATCTACTTCATAAATCATATTGCAACTTTGTCTCACACTTTAAAGAATGACTTCACCATCACCATGATTTTTTACTTGATTTGCTAGTCTCTGTACTGTAAAACTAAAGGGACATAGGACTCTGTCATGGTTAATTCTTTTCTTCTTATTTTGAAGGCAATTGCTTTAACAATGACATGAACCACCAGCCATGTGTAAACAGTGGGTGGTGTTTCTAGGAGCGCTGCTGATCTGGGTCATGTCCACGCAGCCAGCCTTCAAACCAGCATTGCCTCCCGTGATCAAGAACACACCTTTCAACGTTTTCTGGGCTGCCCCAACGATACAATGTCAACATTTCTTCAATGTGAATCTGAATCTTCAGTTATTTAATATTATAGCAAATCCTGCAGAAACGCAGAGCGGCTCAACCATTGTCATATTTTATCCGGATGAATTAGGGTTCTACCCTTATGTCTCCCAAGGAAAATCCTTTAATGGAGGGATCCCACAGAATATGAGCCTTCCTGAACACCTTAGGAAAACCGCTGAGGACATCAGAAAAGTTGTCCCTTGGTGGAGATCAGAAAGTCTTGTTGTCATTGACTGGGAAAGCTGGAAACCTCAATGGGATAGAAATTGGGGAAATAGAATGATATACAAAAATTATTCCATGGCTTTCACTGGGAATCACCACCCTGATTGGTCAGAAATAAAAGTGAAATCTGTTGCCCAGCAGGAATTTGAAAGTGCTGGAAGGAGTCTTATGAACACCACTCTCACCCTGGCTTCAGAAATGAGACCAAAATGCTTATGGGGGTTTTATCTTTATCCTGACTGCTACAATTATGATTACAGGATAAATTCAGAATTGTACACAGGCAATTGTCCAAATGATGAGATTTTGCGCAATGACCAGCTCCAGTGGCTGTGGGAAAAAAGCACGGCCCTTTACACTTCAATTTACTTGGATACAATATTGAAGTCCAGTTTAAATGCTTTGAAATTTGCTCATTATCGAATTAGAGAAGCCTTGAGAATTGCTCAAATGGCTAGGCAAGACTATGCTTTGCCAGTGTTTATTTTTTCCAGACCATTTTATTTACATGGTATTGAAACTTTGTCACAGGTAAGAAAGTACTCATAAAGAATGGAAATTTAATAGAACGACTGGTATAATGTCCTTAAAGTATATTAGTACTGATGGTTGATATGCCTTTTTAATGCCAAACTAATTATGAAAATCACTGATTTCATAGGTATTTACTGAAGAATTTTGCAATAATGATTTTTACCAGCTTAACAAGGTTAGCAGTTGTTAACCTTGAGTAAAAATCACATAACAGATGACTTTAACCAGGGAGAAAATTTAAGATCACCTTTTTAATATGAAAGTGTAGCAACAGTTTTCCAAATCAAAACCATAAACCCAGAATTTGGAAATTATCAACCAAGTCAATTTTTTTTAAATTATATCACACCTTTATGTTCCAATTGATTAGGTTAGTTGAAAAATAATAGATACTCTGATTTTATCTATACGAATCTACAATGTGATTTAGTGGTTATGCCTAAGGATTTAATGTTACTTATATAAATGGATAGATATTGTCCTTTAATTAACACAAAGTAGGAGAGAAATGTGGGAATGACCTTGTTTGAAAAACAGTGAGTTTGTAGACACTTGGAAATGTTCAAGTTTTAACTAGATGTCCTTTTGCATAGGACAATATTGTAGTGACTCAAATCACTGAATATGTGGCTAGATCAGAAAACCTTTACATTTCTATGACTCCTTTGAGTCTACAATTTTGTTATTCTAGTACCCAGCACAGAAGCAAGTTGTTGGTTAGATAGCACATAGCTTACTTTCTTAGACCACTCATATTTGAGATAAGGGCATTTAAAGCAGTGACTATTCTTCCTCAAATATTTGAGAACGAAATCTACCACCACAAATACTGTTAATTGGTTAACATTTATCTCTGCAGGATTATGCACTATTATTAAAAAAACAAAACAGGCCCTCCCTGGTGGCGCAGCGGGTTAAAGCACAGCACTGAGAAACTAAAGCCACTTCTGCATGAGTTCGATTCCCGCCTACCCCGGAGGTGACCACATGGCGTGGCAGACCTCTCCTGACCCGCCCGCTGCTCCCTCAGCAGTGTACTTCGTCGATCTGCCTGTTCTGCTTCCCCTCTGTCTCTGGTGAATCCTCTCACCCTCCGCATCTCTGGCCTGTACCCCAGTTCTATATGAATAAATAAATCTTTAAAAAAAAAAAACTAAATTTATGAAGAAAACATTTTATCATGACAGGAAGTTGGAGGATTTCAGGGGTATCTAATTTGCCTCTCATCCAGATACAAATTCTTTCTACCTGACTTCTGTTATATCTTTTTTCCTAAAATGGGGTACTCCCTATGCCAGAAAATCTGCCATTTTGATGCAATATTAATTCCTAGAAACTCCTTGAGTGTAGTAATTCTACTCTGTCTGTTGATAATTTCATATCATTAGTTGTAGTTCTTTTTGTGCAACAAAAAATAAATCTTCCCATCAAAAGCCAATACTCCAGATATTTGAAGACCTGTCATACTGAACAAAGTCTTTTTGTTAATTTATTCCTCAAGGAGCAAATCCCTTCAATCATGTCATTATCTCAAATCCTTTTGGAAAAAAAGAGTAGCTAATATTTATTCATTTAAAAATTATTTGCTGAGTGCTTCCAATAATAACAGTAGAAAAAAATAATCTAAGCAGATTGTTTTGATGGAAAATGGAAAAGTGAGATGAGTCACTCATTTTTTTTTTTTTTAAAGATTGATTTATTTATGCATACAGAACTGGGATACAGGCCAGAGGTGCAGGGACAGTGAGAAGATTCACCAGAGACAGAGTGGGGAGCAGAAAAGGCGTATGTACAGAGTATATTGCTGAGGGGAGCAGAGGGAGGGTCAGGAGAGGTCTGCCATCCCGTGTGGATCACTTCCAAGGCGGGGATCGAACTCATGCTGAAGTGGCTTTAGCTTCTTAGTGCTGTGCTTTAACCTGCTGCGCCACCAGGGAGGACCTGAGTCACTCATTTTAACAAAGGTGTTGTTCACACTTTTTTCCATTTTTGTACTATTTGACTTTTGAAGTAAATGATGAGGTAAGGTTCACTTTGGAATTGCACTTACAGAATTACCTAAGTGTTATTGTAGTAAAGTGTTTTAATGTTTTCCTACTCTCTTGCATTTTTCACATATCAATAATCTGGATTTTTTTCACCTGGCATAGAAATAAAGTAACTTTTCAATGAAATCATTTCAAACTAACTCTGCTTGGTATTTTGCTTTGGAGGTGTCTCAATTGAAGTAAAAGACTTGGTTTCTATTTAAGATCCATGATATTGTTAGAATAATGGAAGAATGTTTCCTCTTGTCTTACTGTGATGAATTGCCAGACATGAATACCTTGCAAACTGTCTATAATAACTCTCTTCATCTTTCATCTCCCTATAGTTTCCACTTTTCTTACACTTGGTCTATAATTATAGACATAACATCTTCAGTTTCTAATCTTGGTAAATTATAATGGACTTAATTTATTAACTGGAGAGTCACTTGGACAACTCCCTTCTCCTGTTTCCATTATCCACCAGGTAACTAACATTGATTTATTTCAATTTCCAAATACTCTTCAGTCTGTCCACTCTGCTCATAAAGATGGACATTGCCTTTACTGAGTCCCTCACTGTTTCTCATTGAATAGTTTCCATGGTGTCTCCCAACCTGCATTCATATCTCCCTCTTCAGTGTGTTCTTTATATTCCAGTAAAAAATATAAGGTTGCAGATTTGTATCTTTCTAGAGATTTTTTTAAAAAAAAATATGTAAGTGCTAACACTATTTAAATAGCTTAAAAGACTCTTTATAATATTTGGATCTTGGTTTAACATAAGGATTCAGATACCTTCCCTTCTCCCCTAATGTCCTAAATCTTTACCACAAGGGTTACTGGCACATCTCTGGGTGGACTTTGCTTTTTCCTATACAAATCCCTTTGCCCTGCCTACTGGGCATATAACTTGCTTTCTCCAGGTATTTACATTCATTTCCAAATATTAAATTTCACATTTTTAAGGAAACCTCCTCACACTCTTCCATATTGACTTTTTGCAGTCTTATAGGTGCTAATATAAGAATTTAACTTCTTATACTGCAGTTACTTGTTCCTATGCCTGTCTTAACCATTGTTATGAAGTACTTCCTCAGGGACAGAAACCAGAATATATTTTATTTTTATATTATTGGCATCTAGAATATTTACTGGAACATCATATTTAACAAATAATTGTAAGTATTCAAAAGCAGGGTTACCTTTTCCAATTTTTGCTATGTAGTCCTTTGATTTAGTAACTAAGATAACATGATTGTAGCTGATGGGTAAAGACTTATTGTCAGTGACTAAATTTGATTTTGCCAAGACTACTTGTGACTATTCTCTTTTTGTAGGAGGACTTAGTACATACAATTGGTGAGAGTGCAGCACTGGGAACAGCAGGCATCATATTATGGGGAGGAAATGAATATTCTGCTTCAAAGGTAAACAGTGCTTTCTCTACCAGAAACTCGAATATATTCTAAATATTGTTTTGGGTTTCAATTTTTCATGTTAGAGATAAATGGTTGATGATTACCTGCCCACTTGACTGGAACAATGTTCACAGAATATAGGAACTACCATTATTTTGGCACCTACTCTTCTGGCCATGGTGGTTTAGTCATAGGAGAGAGACAAGCTTTTCATGTTATGATATGCAAATTCAATAATTACATCTTGGTGTGTAAGTTTGCACAAGTCAATTAATCACTTTGAATCTCATTTCTAAAGTAATAAAATACCTACTCTGTAGAGCTTGCTGGTAGATTAAATCATATCATATATGTAACAAAAACCCACTAAATCAAATATTTCATCGACATGGAGTGTGGAGTCTTTATTTTCTAGATACGTATGCTAAACTAGAAGCATTTATGGGAGGGAAAAATATGTATATACTTGTTTATTAACAGACTATGCTTGATATGACTTTCGGGAAATAGCTATTATTTTTCCACAACTGACAATTGAGTATGTTCTCTTGGTCATCTGTCAGAGTGCCTAAATAAGCACAGTTTCCCTTCATTTCCAAGTTGGGGACAAATAACTCCATTTTCAGGTACTAAAACATCTGGTTTCATAATATATAACAATAGCATCTCTTTTTAATTCACCATGGCACAAATCAGCATGATGGAATTGTTAAGAGCAGAGGCCCTGAAGCCTTGTTTCCCATGCTCATTTTTTTTTCATGAACAAGCGATCATGAACAAGTCAGTGATTTTACAAATTTGCGTTGGTAAAATGGGGTGATAATATTATTTGTCTCATAGAGCTTTTATGAGAATTACAATAACATATGGAAAGCACTGAAAACAATAGTTGGCACTAGCTGATTGCCAGGTAAGTTTTGGTTATTATTATCTAGATTAAAATTGCTTGCCACCATCTCCCTACACTTTAAGCTGGGGTCTCATGTCTGGGAAATAATACAATTAATTTCTACATTTCAAAGATGTGTATTGGAGACCAAAGATGAGATATAAGAGGAGGCAAAGTAAGTGATATCATTTTTATTTGGTTGCATTTATAATATCTTTGTTTCTTGAAGTCTCTTGTGTCCTTCTCTTTTATTTTGGTAAATGGTGCTCAGTTTTGTTTTATTCTATATATCTAGAAGTTTCTTCAGATTCCTCAGACAAGAAGACTTGACCTCACTAAAAATAGTAACTTTTCCCCTAAATATAGTATGAAGTTGGCTTAGACTAGATGAACTGAAACAAATATACATGCGCTTTTCAGAACTTATTATTGCCCAAAGTGATACCTTGTCTAACTGCCTGTCATTAGTAGCTTTAGACTGCCTCATGACTTTCCATTTGAAGCCCTGAATCCTTACAATGGATTTACAGTTTGGGGACCTCTTTTTTTTTTTTTTTTTTAAGATATGTTTATTTGTACATACAGAACTGGGGTACAGGCCAGAAACTCAGGGGCTGCGAGAGGCTTCACCAGAGACAGAGTGGGGAACAGAACAGG